TCTGATTGCTCTTGATGCTATTAAAAGATTTATGCGGTGTCATGTAAAGCTGGCTATGGTCATAGATGTTCAAATGGGCCTCGAAGACAATCAAAGAATCATCAACCTAAAAAGACCTAATCAAGACTTAGAAGATATTGATGCTCATCCTGTTTACATGATTCTTGAAAAGCCAGAGTTCGGAGTCATATATTTTGCTTAGCTTCAAGTGAAGAAATTTATGAGATTCAGTGAGCTGAATAAGTATTCAGATGGTACGATAAGGTTGGTAAGACGGGCGCTTGATTTGAAAAGGGTGAACAACGACAGAGCTGCAGAGTCAGAGAGAATGAGTTCTAAAGAAAGATATATGTTGGTCAATGTTATAAATCTGCTCGAGGAGAAGATTCAGTATAGGAATGCTCTAAGGAGGTTAGAGAAAATTCTTGGACTTAGAAAGACAAATTTTACAAGAGTCCAAACTTGAATCCAAAGGGGAAGAATGTTGGGTTTGAGTATGAGCATTATTGTTGTATTCAAGTTTCTCCATATTACATGTTTTTGTAGTAGTGTAGTTTTATTACTTCCTTAGTATAAATAGTATTTTTCTTTGTAATTGTCATTATCAAGTCATTAGCAGATTGTAATCAGATTTAGAGCTGTAATTCTCTCTATCAATCAAAGAAATTACATTTGGTGATCTACTCTTTCTATTCTTACATTCATCGTGTTCTTGAAGATTGATATCACATTTGTATGAAATTTGGACTTCACAAAAGCTTCATCTAAGCTTTGGATTGTTGCTAATTTTAAATATTATTTCGCAAGTACTTTTTTAAGTGTTCTTCGTTACTGTCTGTTGCTACAACAACTTTTCCAGCTTTCTCTTTACTTTTCTTGCAGAATTTACTTTTACATCATTTAATTAAGTCATTTCCATTTATGTCATTTATTTTTAAGCACTTACATTCACATGCTAGACTAAGTATCTTAGTATGGGTATAAGTGAAAATTGTGAGATTAAGCCAAGTGTTAGTTGATGATTGTTTGTTAATAGCAATTTATTTCACTATTCATAAGTGGTATCAATATTTCATCTGGTAATCTTTGACAAATTGACACATGTTATTTAATTCAGATGAGTTGGACTTAAAATTAAGACAATGCAAATATTTTTATTAAGTGTGTTATAGAGGCTATAAAGAGTCTCAATAATCTTATTGGGTTGCAAATTTATATGGAAAGAAATACAAGATATGTACTAGTTTGAGATTGATGCATCACCAAGTGCATTTTCAACATATGGTCTAATATGCAATTCCTTGGAAGACCATTCGATCCAGTAGTGTTGGAAAGAGATACTATATAGCAATATTTACTACACTTCGTTCCTGAAATCCAACATGATCTTGCATTCATACTATCTTTTAGTTATTGTTACATTTCAGTATTTGGTTACCAACTCTCTCAAAGATATTTACTCTGAAGCTTTATTGCTTTAAAAAACCTCTTTCTGAAATCTCATTTTAAAATAAATTTGTGTGACTCTCTTTGCATTTTAAATCTCTGTTGAACGATATTTGGTATTACTTACTATTATTACTTGCTTTGTACGATACTTGTAAGCCATATATACTTGCATGATTTACTTGTTGATATAGACTTTTGAGGGTATAGATATCCACACACCAATCATTAATGATGATTGGTGTTATACCAATCACTTGCGGTAGAGATGGCCAAAAATCGGTCCCGAGCCGGGCCGGTCCTAATCGGTCATAACCGGTCCCAGCGTAACCGGTCCCGGTCGAAAATGATAGGACCGGTCAAGGTACTTCATAACCGGTTATGGGCCGCCGGTTCCGGTCCCGGTCCCAACCGGTCCTTGCATTAAAAAATATGATTTTTTTTTGATTTTTTTAATGATATATTTTTAATACATCATAAAATTTACAATTTGGTCATTCAAATACACTTTAAAAATACGTTTTAATATAATTAAAATTACGTTTTCTTATAAAAATACATTATAAAATTATTTGAATTTTCGGGCCGGGCAGGGCCAGTCCATAGTCAGTCCCATAACCGGTCCCGGTCCCACGAAACTACTAAAAACCTCAACCGGTCCCGATTTTCGGTCTCATAACCGGTCCTTACCGGTCCCGAGCCAATCCTTTGTCGGTCCCGATCCTGATCCTCCGACGGTCCCAAACCGGGCCAGGCCGATTTGACCATTTCTAGTTTGCAGTACTGTTTTGTACGGGGCCTGTCCTAGCCATAGACCTAGGGGACGACGGCCCAAAGCAGTATAAAGCCGAGGGCATCATTATGTAATGCCCAATGTATATGTACAAGGGCATCAATTTTCTAATGCGTACAGGTTCAATTTTGATTTGGGCCTAGGAGTATTACCGTTACTAGTCCACTGCAATCTCAATCGGCCTTCAATTTGTCCTCCCTCGCCTCTCGCCTCTCGCTCTTGCCTCGCTCATGAAACTCGTGAACAATTCACGATTCACGAATAGAAATCGCAATCGGCTTTGACTCAATCGGCTCTCGCTCTCTGCCTCTCTCGAGTCTCGACTATCGACCGCCGACGGCCGACCGGCTCTCGGCCACTCGCTCTCGCATCTTGACTCTTGTGAGTTGTGACTTGTAAGGTTAGGGACTTAGGGTTATTTACTTTACTTATTTTATTTTTTATGTTTCTAATTCTTGTTTGATTGCAAAACCTAAGTATGAAGCTGTGAAATTGGTCCTTTGTGGTATGTCATTTATGTTTCTAATTCTTGTTACTGTATCACTTGATTCACTTCACTGTATGTCTGTTTGCCTGTATGTATAATGTTAATGTATCATGTATGCCTAAATCCTAATTGAAATCCATGCCTTTTGCTGTCATTTGCTAATTGTTGGGTGGTTGACTGTTAATTATACATACAGTATCATGTATGTATAATGTCCTTTGTGGTTTGTCATTTATGTTTCTAAGTGTAGGGAAGCCAAGTCTTTGGTTAATGGTGAGCTTTCAAGTTTTGAGTTTATTGTAAGTTTGGTTATTTGGCATGTTAATATTCCTTATTTTTTTAATCCCAGCCTAGGTACAGTATAAGAGGTAGAGGAAAGTAATTTGCTGCAGAAATTATTAGAAGCTTGCATTGTTGATTTCTCTTAGATTGACTCTTCAACTACACAAGTAAGTTTTTATGTTTGTTTAAGTTAAATGAATACTATTGTTATTAATTGATCTAGTTGTTCATCGAATCAATCAAGCCTATCTCTGAAGTTTTAGTCCTTCGTTCTGTGATTAATATTCAAGTTATCATCCACCGATTTTTGTTCTAATTCCATTAGATTTTGATGTATATTAACAAATTTCAGCAACTATAATTTAGTTGAACAGACCTATAAATGTGCAGTAGTTAAGTGATGATTTGCCCTCACTTGAATGTGCAGTAACTAATTCACTTGACTGTTCTCCCTTAACTTTGCAATTTTACATATGAAACGCATGATTGTCATTGATCAAGACCTTAAATATGATTATATGAAACACATGATGGACTAATGGATTCATGCAATAGCTAATTTCATAGGCAAACACCTTAAGTGACTAAAACTAGTAGGACAAAATTAGTGAAGTAGGAATGAGCCATTGATGTTGTAGAGTGTAAATAATTGAAGAAGAACCAACCAATTAAGTGTTTGGAGTTGGATTGAGAAGGTACGAGTGTTGATTTTGGTTTATATAGAAGAAGATTTTGGTTTATATAGAAGACGTGGGATGTAGTAAATGGGACAAGTAGATGAGTTAGTATTATGATGCTCCATATTTTGGTTTTGGACAAGTAGATGAGTTGGTGTTTAAACGCAAGGGCTATAACAACTTGATTAAAGAAACCTTAATATATTATTTTAAAGTAAACACTCAACTATAAGATCACACTTGTGAACAAAAAACACTAATGGATCTCTTGGTCTATGAAGGAAAAAGCTAGACAATTGTAAATTACCACACTTTGGATGTCTTTAATTGGGCATCATGAGCACCAAAAATCTCAGGACCGGCCTTGGCTTTGTATATATCCCACAAGATGAATGTTTGCGTTTAATCGAACACTGCCTTGTACTCATTTATGTGTGTGTTTGTGTATATATGTATAGTACTTATTTGATGTCTGTTTTTATACTCATTTAGGTATGTGTTTGTATATAAATTTGATATCTGTGTTTGATGCGTATGTGTTTGTGTATGTAAAATATATATATGTTTTTCCTCATTAAATGTTAATTTTATTGTTATTTGTAATTAAAAAAAACTAATTTTTTTAAAAAAATATAAAGAAAGGATATTTTTGTCATTCTTCTACAGATTTCGTAAATTCGGAAATCATTCTGCTGATATTTGGGCTTTTAATTATTAGGGTATCATAATCAAATACCAAATAACCCAAGATTGGGTTATTGTCGCCTGTGTATTAATAATCTCATTCTCTCTTGATCTCAGCAAACCACCTAATCAAGAACCAAGGACATCCTCGTTTCATCGTTTGTTTATTCTGCAGTTTCCATGGAATTACTCATGGAGGAAGAAGAATTAAGAGTTGATGGATTGAGTATGGGTGATTTTGACAGCAATCAGAAAGAGAACTCTGAATTGGCTTCTGATTTTMATGCAAYRGATGATAAGAACAAKGRGWTTACCCAAGAGAATCAAGCAGAAGATAGTRATGCTGAAGAAGAGTATGACGATGAGGAAGAAGAARACGCAGAAGAAACATATTCATTGAGATTYGAAGGAGAGACAGATCCCTTGGCTCTCAMAGAGGATGATKCTTTTGGAGTTCAGGCTTAYGAGTGTTTGGAACAACCGGGGCATGAGTATGAAGCTTTGGCTGCTAAAAAGCGTAAAGAAAGCCTCAATTACAATCATCTAGGGTAATTACCATCAAATTCTCATTTACAGTTTGTTATTTGGTGAACTATGTGTTCTGTCTGCTATCCGTTTCCAATTCCAATACAAAAAATCATATTCTCCAATTACAGATGTTCACAATGATTGTTGTTTTTTTTCGGTCATGGCGTTGAATTTGGGAAATTAGCTCTTTTTGGCGCCCTAGACGGGCTGATAGCCTATTATATTTGTCCTCAATTTACGAAAGTAAAAGTTTCTCGATTATTGAAATTGAAAGATGAGATTCTATATAATTTCATATTGTTATGATGAACTTCTTTTAACTGGGGAATACAATCTTCAATATGACATGTCAGATGCAAATAGAAGCTAAGCTGGGTTCTTATATTTATTTTATCAAAGAATATAAGTGAATACGAAGTACAGACGCAAGACTCCTGAATAGTCTTTTGCCTTACATAACCATACCATAATACAAAAAGGCATGACTTGTTAAGGGATTGCACCTACATCAAGCAAGATGCCTGTCCATTTATAGGAGCTGGGCACAGGGATGTGCTCTGGGAGCCTTTAGGTTGCATTTGGTATCTAGACCGGGAGGACAGGACAAAATAGGACAGAACAAGACGGAACAAGACAAAACAACTAGAACAACTAGAAAAACCGCTTAGCATGTGGTAAGAGAAAACAAGGTTGGTAAGACAAAACTGGACAGGACAAAACATATAAAATGACCAATTTACCTCTAATGATTTGTTTATATCTTGCATATTTTTTGATTAATTTATTAAATTCTAATAAAATAAATATTTCTATAACAAAATATATCATTAAAAAAATTTAGTCAAGACGATTAAAATGATACCAAAATAAAAAGTTTATATAATTTCCAATTTCCGATTTCGAATTTTTATTTTTATTTTATTCTTATTAATATTTAATAAATTACATAAATTAACCAAAATATAGAAACCGTATAAAAGAAATATTTTGAGGACAGTACAGTGAAAGTTTGGGGTTGAAGAGTCTTTCTTTATGCAACATCTCAAACCAAGCTTAAGCTTAAGATTGAATTTTTAGTACTGATATGATACTTGACGAAAGAAGATATAACATTTAAATTGTTTGTGTCAGAATGCCACCAGTAAAGAAGTTGAGACAAGAGGATTATCCTGGACCAAGCTTTGAAGATTTATTGGCAGAAATAACACATGGAAAGAGAAGAAAGTCAAAGAAGGTATTATGGCATTGTCTAGCCATTTTCTTTTAGGCTTGTTTTCTACTAATGTTCTTTTCATAAAGTGAGAGCTGAAGGTAAAGTTTTATGGAGTTTCATGTACTCATAGAACCGACCCTATTCAGTTTCACCATTTCACATGAGAATAATGTTTTAAAAGATGGACCGAGTTAGGTAGGCAGTTTTGTGCTTGTTAGCCTAGGTAGGTATCACCCATCCTTCAGTTCACAATAGTACTATATATTCACGTTTTTTGTCGAGCAATTCAAAACACTTTGAAAATGCTATAACCCATAATCCTAAATTATCAAATATTGTAAGAGCCTCATTTTACAACCTGGAAGAAGGCCCAACGGATGCTGCAGACTTTGTTTTATACCACTGACATGTTTTGTCACCATCAACCCCCAATACAACCTGTTTTGACCTCTTGTGCTCCCTAGCAGCCTCACCATGAGTTTATACCACTCTAATCAATAGTTGCGATCGGTAAGGTTCCTCGTCTAATTTGGAAAGTGTTCGTTCCATCTTTGACATGCTTCTGTGGTTTCGGTTCATGATCTTAGTTTAATCAATCAACCTCCGTAAACCTTGTGCCTTCCAACCTGCTTGACCCTTGTTAACCCTTACCAACTGTTGATGCCACTGTCCATGGTTTTATAGTTGCACGAAGACTTAATGTAGATGAAGTATGGCTCTTAATAGCCTTGGGTGGGGGTGGGGGGAGGCAACTTGACATATGGTTGTCCCCTTTATAGGTGGTTTTGTTAATCTCCCTTACTTTAGTGTAAACTTTTATTTTGTTGTGTTTTAACAGGTTAGGCCATTATAACATAGTGAACTATGACCTTAGTCTTCTTAAGGAAGAAGCAGTGGTCCTACCAGGAAATTATCTTTTGGATGGAGTCTTCACGAAAGCCTTGTATGGTACCATTAGCCCTTTGTGAAGTCGTATCTTGCAATGGGTGCCAACCTGTGAGGTGGGAGTCAGGGAAATTTGAATTGAAAATTTCATGAACATTGAAATTGGTATTGGGTTATGAGAGATGACATTATTGAGTTATGTGAGATCTTCTCTATAAAATAGTCTCACCAATTGTATGTGGCAGGAGGTGTTGGGAAGATTAGGATGTGCTTAAACTCCAAAACAATCAAATCTTGACCCATTCAGGACAATCACAGACACGCAATCAGTCTTCCATCTGTCCAGCATACCCCTATGCTAGATATTTAGTCTCAATATCTGGTTTCAATGTACCCCATATCATAATGCACACCTTCACTTACACCTATGATGAATCTGCTGTCTTCAATCCTTCAATTCAGCATACTCCTAAGCTTTGTTCTTCTTTATGAGTTTACCCATATGTTGATTCCTTCCTTCTAAGTTCTAAGCATAACCTTGCACTAAATCTTCTATCAAGACTTTGATCCTTGCTTGGTTCAACATACCCCTATGCGGATGTGTTGCACCGAGGGTAAGTTGGGTGTTTGTTTCCTTTCTTTTTTATGCTGCTATTTGGCATGGTTGTTCGTTTTCTTGTTAATGCTCTAAGTATATGATATATGTGAAGCACTACAAAGAGAGACTAAAACCATCTTTTAAATATTAGACTTAAAGCATAATTGTTTACCAAAAATAACATGTATGATTAACCCTCCCCAACCTTAGTACTATCTTGTCCTAAGCAAGATGAGGAAAAGAGAATAAATACAACTCTGATAACAAATGTTCTCTCTATTTTAGAGATTTATTCTAATAGATCAAAAGCACATTGATGAAGATAATACTTTGCTAGATTAGACATGATACTAAATATACATTTCTCATGTATTGTCTTTTCCCCTACACTCTTATCTCAAAAATTTTAGAGCTGGCATGCTATAATATGACACACATTTTACAAGGCTTTCTCAATTGCTTTCATCGACGTTTTTGTTCCTCCTTTGCATGCCGCATTAGGACTTGGCAGTTGTGCAATTTCATCTCCATGCATATATATTATTTTGGATTTTTTTGGGCAAAGTTTTATTGTGCACACATCTTTATGACTTCTGTATGACGAGCATTTAGTAAACCACTCCCAACCAATTGACTTTACTCTGTAAAGCACTCTTGGATCTAATGATCATCTACAAAGACCATAGATTCTATCGTGTATCCTTCCACTTGAGTAACATAATTATGATTGCTTTGGTCAAGAGTATCATTATAGATCTAAATCATTGGGTTGATGGTTGACCAAGATTGTTGGTTGGTTTGAGAGCAAGACCATCCCATTTGCATTCTAAAATATCTTGGTTATTCTTCAACCAACGTGTTTATCATCTAATAATTTCGTTTCAAGTTTGGATGACCGAGTGATTTAGCATGCTTGCACCCTAGAATGACAAATTACTTAAAAAAGTACAAACAATACCATTTTACCTAAGTGCTTATCTGTTCATTAAACAATTGTGGTTGGGACAATGGTACACCATGAAGAGATACCACCAACAAATTTTTAACACGAATATTATACCGAGGCAACCAAATGAAACAATACTTAACCAAATATTTAACAAAAGCAAATTACATCCAACATTATCAAGTAAATAGAAAATATTAAAATGTTTAAATAGCCATGCTAATAGTGTAACTAAAACACAAAGAAAAGTAGAACCTTAAAACCAAAATTAAAAGATGATCGATGCATTCGTAGAGGCTTCATAAGTAAGTTGATATGCATCATTCAAATACAAATGATATTGATATCTTCCCTCCCAAAGGATTGTATCAGCGTCTAGAGCAGTCGTTGAGTATGGCATATATAAGTGTGGATCGCTTAGGGTAAGTTAGGATGGTGGCGACTTAGTGACCGGATATCCTATTCAGAGGTCCCAACTTGCATTATGTTGAGTATGGCATAAAGTATCTTCTATTTTAGCAAGATCGAGTCACAACTCGCATTATGTTGAGTATGGCATAAAGTATCTCCTATTTTAGCAAGATTGAGTCATGCTATGGGGTCCTGTAACTCTCCCCTAAGATAGGAGTAAATTTAAACCATAAATTGATACGAAGAAATACCTATATAAATGAAGTCACCGGAGAAGGGGAAATTGTGAAGCGTTTACAACCCAGAGGAATAGAAGATAAATAACAACCTACTAATCTAAACTATTCTAAGTTCAAATTATGAACGGGTGTCACTATTTTCATCAAAAGAATCCTGTCAAAAAAACTCAAAATATAACGCCAACAGATAAAAGATAATTTTCCCAAAAGTGCCTTTACTGGCATCAAATCACAACGCTCAAGACTTCGGAGCCCCACTGCTGTGATAACCTGATATACATATCATTTTAAGGAAAGTGTTAGGGTTGATGCCCAGTAAGATCAAACGGTTTATAAATGATGTAAACAATCAATGCGGTAAAAGTTTACAATATTAATTTAAATCCCAAGTTCATATATTTCAAGTAAGGCCATGAAGCCTAAAATACATCTCACGATGACGGGGCAGACCCGATTTCTATGGTTAGTGACTATAAAAGTAGGCTACAACTCCATGTTATAGAGTTACACTAAGGGTCAATGGCCAATGAGTTCAACCAACCGTGATCTATAGCTCAAGGCCCCCGATCCCAATTATACTCATTCGCTAGAAATTACACCATATGGTCAATGGCTAGTATTCGGCTCCAAGAGTCCGTACCATAACGCCCCCGCTGACACAATGCCTATTTCTAGTTACAAAATGGCACAACAATCCAAAAACACAATAAACTGACTCCTATGCCTATGGATCCATTTGCGTTAGTCTAATATCTGTAACATTTAAAAGTGACCAACTATAATCATACATATAGTTCTCATCATTCAAATGTCCTCGTAAAATCGTTTTAACTTAAGATTTACTAAATAGGACAAGCCTTCAAAATTTTCCAATAAAGCCATTTTCTTTCCCAATCTAATATCATATTCATCATCTTTCACAAAAATTCATGAATTTAAAGATAATTTTGCTTTAAAACTAAAAATACCCTTTTTCCATGTTCAACCATTTTCCATGATATATCTTCAAATATGTAGAAATTAAGTAAAATCATAAATCATGTAGATCTAGTTCCAACAATAACATTTGTGTACCTAAAATACATTTTTATAACACATATTTAAATATCTCACTTTTATTAGCAAAAAGGGTAACAACCCCAAATCTCCCAAACTACCCAAAATTAGTCAAAATACACAAATATGTGAAATATATCAAAAGGAACATTTTAGGAATCTAAAATAAAGCATTTTGACATGTATAAAGTTTAAAAGGTTTAGAATAAACACACAAATGTGTTTTTTAAGAAAACCCTAAAACTTAATCAACAATGATGGTAGTCGGAGAGGATGATTATCTTGAAGCTTTAAAACCCCAAGCTTGAATCATTAAATGCCGAAGTCATAAATGCTCTAGAAGGAAACCGATTTATGCATTAAATTTTTATGTTGGCCGAAAATTAGAGAGAGAGGAAAAGGATTCGACCAAGGATAAGAGAGTGAGAGAGTGTGTACGAGGAGAAGGCGATTGGTTGATGTTTAATTAGGGGAATATGGGTGTTGGTCAAAAAAGTAAAAATGAGAGAGTGAGAGATCGATCCGGTTAAAAAGAAAGAGAGAGACTTAGTGGTAAGATTGGATAATATAAAAAAAGAATAAAGAACAGAGAAAGTGTGATTGGTTTAGAGAGAGTGATTTAAGTGAGAGGGAGGAGAAAGTCAACCACAACATGACAACTTTGACCACAAACCACTTGAGCGACCTGGCCGCCGGCGACCCAAGGTCGCATGGCGCTGGTCGCATGCCCTCTCAACCCCATGTTGCTGTTTCCTTTCACTTCGCGGCCGCAAAGGAACTGCCCTAAAAATTGACTTTTTCTTAAAACCAACCGAAACACAAAACCAACCAAGGTATTATCCAAGACTTTATCCAAGGTCATAACTACATCTAAAATTCGGAATTTTACATATATATATATATATATAAATACGGATGTTACATCATGTCTCTCAATGACATTGGGGTGGATTCTACGAAGTTGCTTCATGATCATCGATGGTAGAGGAAGGTGTTTGTGTTCCTTGAGAGTGTACGTATGTGGGTTGAGGTGCAATGGTGGTGTAGGTGCCTCAATTATGTTAGACTTTAGTGGTGGATYCATGTGAAGCATATCTGGGCCACTAAGACAAAATGTGGGGCCATGATTAGTCCTAATGTCTGTAATATCCTATTGGTGGTTCTTAAAGACATTCTTTGAAGGAAAGTGATTCTTTAAAGACCTTTTCTAATGGATGAATCACTTCCCTAGTATCTCCTTTTAACAAACGACGGTCATATCATAAAAATGGGGAGATGTACACAGTTCACCAGGCAATGATGAGGAATCAACCTTTTYCTTCAATTACAGAAGGAATAATAGAGATTGTCCAAAGTTACC